ACCCTTCTTTGGCACTACCTGCACAAAACTTACCCATTTGGAGTCAGAAATAGGATAGATAATACCTGCATCAAGTAATTTCATAACCTCCTTCTTGAATACTTCCTGCATGTAGGGATTTAATCTTCGTTGGGGTTGAATGCAGGGCTTGTAATTTTCCTCTAGATGTATCATGTGCATACAAAAGTCAGGGATAATACCCTTGAGATCATCAATACTGTACCCAATAGCTTTCTTATGGGTTTTGAGAACCCCTAGAAGTTGGGAAGTTTGTAGGTCAGTAACTGCAGTACTGATGATAACGGGGTGTAGTTCCTGTTCATCCAGAAAAATATATTTTAAATGAGAAGGGAGAGGTTTTAGCTCAGGTTTCTTGACCTCTGCAGGTTTTGATTCCTGAACTAAATTTACTACCTTCATTGTTTCCTTGGGGCTTAACTCTTTTAAGGAAAGAGCCTTTTCAATATCTTGTACCTCATTACCCCAAACGCTTGCATTGTCTCCGGATAAATTCCCGTAGAGAACTTCCTCTAGGGGATCCTTCGCAAGAACCTGGCAAGCTATCATCATAAATATCAGCCATTATATCAATTACATCAATATAGCAACAATTCTCCTCTAGCATAGGCCCTTTCAAAACCTTCCCTAAATTAAAAGTAACATTACCGTCATCTACAGAAAGGGTTATTTTACCATTTTTAACATCAATTATTGCTCCTGCAGTATGGAGAAAAGGCCTACCTAATATAATGGGTATTTGCGTATCCTCTGCCATGTCTAAAACAATAAAATCAACAAGAATAAAAAATTTACCAACTCTGACAGGTACGTCCTCTAAAATACTTAAGGGGTATTTTACTGAACGATCTGCCATTTGCAAAGTTATATTAGTAACTTTTAATTCTCCCATATTAAGTTTAGCGCAGACAAACGATGGCATGACAATGACACTAGCACCCAAATCACACAAAGCTTTATCAATAAAAAAATTCCCAATATGACAAGGGATAGAAAAACTACCGGGATCTTTAATTTAGGAGGGGATTTGTTTTGCAATAACGCGCTACACTCCTCTGTGAAAGCTTCAGTTTCTACTTCATTAAAAGCCCTTTTCCTGGTCAGAATGTCTTTCATAAATTTAGCATAAGCAGGAACTTGAGTGACTAAGTCAGTAAAAGGAACTGTTACCTGCAGGTTTTTCACAACCTCTAAAAACTTACCGAAGTATTTATCAAACTTACTCTTCAGTTGTCTATTAGGGAATGGAAGTTTGATAACCGGGCTCTGCACATCTCCTCCCTTATCCTGTCATTTACCCTGCACAGAAACATTAGTAGAGTTAGTTTCTATTTGTAGCCCTGCAGGGCTAGCAGGATTAGCGTTTGGTATAGAGGAATCTAGATCAGTAACTGGTCTATCTTCCTTTGGCATAGGAGGTCCATCATAATGTGAACCACTCCTTAGACTGATTGCATTGGCATGATCTGTAGGATGGATAGGTTGTGATGGTAGAGCTCCCTGCTGACGGGATTGTAGGGTAGATGAAAGTTGTGCAATTTGATTGTCCATGATTTTATTATGGGCTAGGATAGAATCAATTTGCGCATCCCTACTCTCCATATGCTTTTGCATATTGGCGAGTATTGCTATAATTTATGTCATGGCAAGGTCGGAAGATGATGAGGGTGATGCTTGGCTTTTCTGACCGGAATTAGGATGATAATATTTTTGCTGTGGTGGGGTTTGCTGTTGTGATTGATGTGGAGGTGGAGGATTTTGTACATTGGTGCTCCGGTATGAAAGATATGGATGATTTTTATAACCGGCATTGTAAGAATTGGAATAGGGGTTATTCTACCTATAGGTTTGAAACGCATTAACTTGTTCCATAGAGCTCCTACAATCTTGCTCCCAATGACCTACAATTCCACAATTTTTACAAAAAGCTTCATTGTTAGCAACAGCAGAAACATTAGCTACAGAGTTAGGAGCAACAGTAAGATTATCTAATTTTTGACAAATAGACGTTAATTGAGCTTGCAAAAAGGATACGGAATCGACATTATGTTTTCCTTTATTTGCAAACCCTCTCGGATTCCCATATTGGGAATTGTGTATTGCCATGTCTTCGATAACCTGTCCTGCATCGTCCACATTTAAATTCATGAACCTCCCACTAGCTGCAGAATCTAGCACTAATCTAGAAGAATTTCCAAGTCCATTATAGAATGCTTGGATCAATTGCCATTGTGCTAGATTATTGTGAGGGCACTCTCTCTGTAGTTCCTTGAACCTCTCCCAAGCCTCATATAACGTTTCGTCGGCCTCTTGAGCGAAGTTCTGAATAGCACTCCTTAGCACCGCTGTTCTCTCTGCAGAATAGTATTTATTATAGAAATTCAAAGCAAGAGTTTCCCAGTCAGTAACACCAAGTGTAGTTCTATTCAAACCATTAAACCATAATTTAGCTTTGCCACATAATGAAAAAGGAAAAAGAATCTCCCTGATTTGGTCTTGCGTGACCCCGGCTTGTCTAATGGTGTTACAATATTGGCAAAAATCTGCGATGTGGAGATTAGGATCTTCACCCTTAGCTCCACTGAATTTCTTCCTCTCTATCATAGTGATAAATTGGGGCTTGATCTCAAATTGAACTCCATCTAGAGCCGGAGTGGGAGTAAGGTGCGGGAAATCTGTGAGCTTCGGTTGCGAGTAGTCACTAAGTTTCTTCTAGGCCGTCATCTCTGATTCTGAATCTGAAGGAATATCTGTGTCACTAGAATCAGAGGGAGGATCTCTTCGACTGTTGTCCTCCTCCAAACCCGCCAGAATTTGTCTATAGAGTTTCCTTTGCCTATGAAAAGAGCGCTCGATCTCAGGATCGAATGGGATGTAACCTGATCTGGAACACTTGGGCATAAACAAAGAACTAAAAGATAAATATGAGAATTTCCCCAAAGAACTAACGTTCTCTAAGGCAAAAGGGGATAATCTAAACTACAAAAATATAATCAGAAAACAAAAATAAAACCGTTTCCCCGGCAACGGCGCCAAATTTTGACAAGGTAAAGTCGTATCCCCTAATCAAAAATAATTACCTAAGTCCTCTAACTAAAGTAGATAGGGAAGTAGGGTCGAACTCCACAGGGAAATAGGTCTTTCTATTCCTAATTAATTATTATAGTCAAAATTATCTAAGTAACCAATATTTTTGTGAATAAAATTTATACTACGGAGAATAAGGTCGAAAGGAATAAAGTAGGGGGAAAATAAAATATTAAAAGTCCTAGGGCATAGGTTTACTAATAAACAATATTCTAGGGCAAATCATAATAAGCAATCATCAAGCATTGGTTGATCAGATTATAAAGGGCTTTCACTACGCATTATAATCACAGAGTTAATTTACCGGTATTAAATCTCAGCTGTCGAATCTCGACTTAAACATTTATGAATTAATCCGCCTATTGAAACTAAGCCTAAACATCAATTCTGATATGTCGAATCTCGAATTAATATTGCTAAACTCATACAATTAAATCTGGCCAAACCTAATTGCATAGCATTAAATCAATCAGTAGGAAATCAACCAAGCATTGATAATTAACAATCACAAAATTACCCCTTCATATCATTTATTAGATCCCCATAAACCCTAGAAATAAAACTACTCACGCATCATCATAACTAAACTAATCAAATAAATAAATAAAAGCATAATCAAAGAAGTAAAATAGCTGAAATTAAAAGAGAAGGAATTGTTACCAAAAAGAAATCTGGATTAATGGAAATAATTAAGAACAAAAGTTTAGAGAGAATTTAGGAGAGAAAAATATTCTAAGTAGAGAGAGAAAGTCTAAGAAAGAAGGTCATCAAAAATTACGTACAAATCTCGTACTTAAACGTTCCCTAAAACAAAAATTAAAACTAAACTAATCAGGTACTATAAAAACACACGCCCGATCGGGCCCGCCTTTTTCTTTGAGCTCCTTCTCAACAGGATCGCCCGATCGTACTAGACGCTCGCACGATCGGGCGCGCTATAACTTGCCGCGCCCGATCGTGCTAGACCTTTCCCGATCGGGCCCTTGCTTCACTTTGAGGCTCGGTCTTCGATTGGGCTTGATTTCTCGGCCCAATCCGAATTTCCTCTTCGGGTCTTGAATACTCGGACCAAATACCTCGGGATCCCAATTACCGAGCCCTTAATCACTGGCTCGATGACTCTAACCGGCCTTGGGCTTCAAATATGGTCGTGCACTTCTAATTCCCGTAGTCGCTCCATGAAAAACCCGAGAAAATGCTCCAAAGGCGCAATTTCCTACAAAACTCAACAAAGACTACGAAATACTAGAAAACACAAATTAGTAATAAAAGTGGCTCGAAAGAGCCAAAAACACTAGTAATTATGACCAAGGGACGGGGGTAAATTACTATATAAAATGGACATATCAAAAGTACCACACCATTTACAATTCTAGGACAGAAGGGATAACAAGGAAGACTTTGATTGGAGCTTTGGAGGCTCCATGTACTGATGAGGACGAGTTTCGACAGCTTTTTGTGTTGCTGATGTTGAATACACTCTGTTCGACAACTTGTCATCGCATGAAGAAGAAACATCTACATGCAGCTGCAGTTGTAAGCAGTGCTAAACTGTATAACTGGTGCTCTCTCATTTTGGATGAGTTATTACATGCGATGGCAAGCTTTTCTAAAAGGTTTTATAACAACGGTTTTGCCCATGGAAGTGGTGGGTGTACTTTATTTCTGTCGGTAAGTTGACACCTCTAAAATATCTGAATGTAAACCTTTTTTCATTCATTTAGAAGTCATAAAGCTTATGTTGATGTTTGTTTATGTAAAAGGAGTTGTTGTATGTTGATAGACTGAACAAAATTCCACTTGAGTGGAATGAGTTTCCAAGGTTAAAAGTATGGACTACAAAGGAGATGAGCAAAGCTTGTAAAGAAGATCGTTTCCCGACGGGTGACTTTGGAAAAAAGGGGGTAATTGGAATATTAATTTTGTTAAATAGCTACAATCTTATAGTTGTATAAATATTATTTATTTATTTTTTTACTTTGGATAGTGTCTGGACGTTTCGTATGGTGGGGATGCTGGTCACCCGTTGAAGGCAAAGGACTGTTTTCCAGCTAAAAGGAAAATAGAGGAGGCGGATGAAGTAGTAGCTGATATTGATGATGAGGATTTGGCATGGCTTACCATAGATGTGAAAACCAGAAGAACTCTGGTTACAGTAGAGTATGCCTTTCAAAGTAAGAAAAAGAAGCTAGGAGGTAATTACATAATTTTTTCGTGTTATTGGTACGGTTTGGTTCATAGCGGTTCATAGTTAGTTATATAATTGTTTCATTTTTTTGTTGTAATAAAGAAGTACTGAATGAGGACCCTGAAGAAGAAGGGAGGAAGAAACACTACTACAAAAATGATCTAAGATAACAACATATGGTATCACTTACATGGCTAGAAACTTAACTAACTTATAAGTAACACTATTGTAACATTTTGGCATTGAGTAACACTTTATTGTAACACTTTGCTATTGAGTAACACTTTATTGTAAAACTTTGCTATTGAGTAACACTTTATTGTAACACTTTGATATTAAGTAGCACTCACTAGTATAAATAGAGAGGTAGTTAAAGAAAGGTACCATCGATTCTTAAAAACACTACCTTAAGAGGTTGTCTAAACCCCAAAAATAAAAAAATAAAAATGGCCTCAAAAGTCAAACTGGACAAAAAAGAAAAAAAAGGGACAGAGAAAGAACTACTAAGTACTACGTATAAAAGGTCTGCTACCCTTATAAGCTAAGGCTACCAGTTCCAATTTCCAAACCAGTTTTTACTATATAAAAAAAAACCTTTATCTTTACAACTCCGTAATTCGTAATGTTCATTCAAATTTCTTCATTAATGCCTTCATCTTATTTTCTTTCTCTTTCCAAGCCGATGTTAGCCTTGCAGCCACAAGGCCCACAAACATCTCTACTTCAAGCCGAAGCTGCACCATCACCTTTGTTGCCCTCTTGCAAAACCGCGCCGTCGGCACTTCCAATCGTAAGTTTATTTCAGCTTTTTTTTTTATTTATGATTATTTATTTCTTTAATTTATGACTTTGGGGATTCCATTTTTATTTTTATTTTATTCAAATTTTACGAAACAAATAAACGACGGTTCTGTGAATTTTGGGGATTTCGTTTTTTTAATTTTATTATTCTTTTTTTTGCAATTAATTCCTATTTATTTTATCATGCTTGCTGCTGTGAATTTGTTAAGATTAGGGTTCGAAATTTTGGTAAGGGTTCGAATTTTGGGTTTAAATTAAAACAGTTAGGATTAGGGTTCGAATTTTGGGGTTTGGATTCAAATAGGAGGATGAAGATGATGAGTAAGCCTTCTACGAAACTGGACGATGAAGGTGTTTTGTGGTTTTTGAGCTGAATAAGCCAAATCCTCATACTCTTTGCTACCTGCAAGTCTTTTAGAAAGTCCTTAGCACATTATTCTCTCTTGTAGCTGGCTAAAAGCCCTCCTTTCCTTCACGGATTATAGCATTTGCAAACTTGAGCATCCACCATCCACCTTCTTGATCTCCTTTTGTGGTAATCAGTTTAATCTCTAGATTTGTAGAAGTGCATTCTGCTGCCAATTATGAAGGAATAGTACTCCTATTGCTGTTCTTCCCTATTCTCTTGAGCTGCTTCAAAACTTGGAGGAAAAACTGAATTTGACATGTTAGTACCATCTGCTTCCTTGTCATTAACTCCAGCTCCCTTCACGATCAAGTCTGCTCTACTCTCCATACTCTTAATAGTTGACCATGGGTTCTGCCGTAGATTTTTGAAAATCAGGTTGTTCCTGGCCTCCCAGATCCTTTCGAGAGCCGTAACAAAAAGGGTAGATAATTTTCAGGCTCCTATATTTGTCAAACAATTTTTTTAACCAATTATGAATCCAATCAGCTAAAGGAACGTTATCCTGATAAGTGGCATTAATCCCTAGTCTGCTCCCTTTTCACGCATGGCTCACAAAAGAGCATTCTTGGTCTTAAGTGATGCTCCTGATCGAGTCTCCAGGTGAAATGGTAAATACTGTTGTTGTTTCCTTCTTCAAAGCAAAGAGCACAATGGTGGCTCTCTCCCTGACTTCTCTGCTCCGTAGAGCAAGAAGTGATTTACTTTCTTTCTTAGGTTAAACATGATTAAAATTGCTTTGGGATAGCTGAATGGTAATCTTAAATACTTTTTGTGCCCAATTCTCTTGAGTAAATTAAATGTCATCTTCTATCCTTCTTCATAATCTTTTTGTTGCCAACTTATATTTATGCTGTCGTTATGGTGGAGCCTTATTGCTCTTGTGTCCTTTGCTTTCCCTATTTCTTTACTCATGAGAAATTTGTGAACACTGATTGCATTAAAACCTTAAGTCGGTGAAGTTGTTGTAACTGTTTTCAAAACCAACATGCGAATAGTCGAATACTAGTTCTAGTTCAAATTACACTATCAATATATAATCCATTGTTAGTTCAAAATACACTAATTGCTAATCTAGTTGCTTAACTTGCTTCTGTAACTTTTATTCTATTTGCTGGTGTAAGGATGATGTGTATCAGCTATTATAGTGAAATATAAACAGACTGAAGTACTGAACCCATTACTGAAATCTTCTACTTGACTTCATGTCTAGGATGATACCACTTTTGAAAAACAAAGGGCTTTCTTTGCCCCTGTTATTTCTGATAAAGTGCTTATAAACATGTAAGTGCATAATATAATTATTCTACTTATCTGATCAATTGGATGTAGGTGATGCCATGCCACAGTGCGTGAGCAAGCAAAAATAAACCTCTATTAAAGACTGTATTCCAAGTGCAACATTGCTTACCGTATTTATTTCTCTTTGTTTTTTCTATTTGAAAGCATGCTTTATCATACCTTTGGAAAGTATCAGAGATCCATTAAAACAAACCAGTTTTGCAGGAGATATTTAAAAGGTGATTGCTTTGTGAAGTGCCTTTTCATTCCATGACAAACTTAGAAATTATTGTTTTCTAACCATATTTCTCTTGCGAGTTATGGGATTCGGTTCCTAAGTCGCAAGCACATAAAGATACACCCCTGATTGAATTTTAAAAGATAATTTGTTAGCTTCTTATTGTGGAATGTTAACTTTCTATAAAATCTGATGAGCGGAATCTACTTTTAGTTTTCAATTTTCACTTGAACGATCTGCTAGTTTAATTTGCCATTCAAGATTCAACTAACTTCAATTTGTGGTGTTATCTCAGGTTTTATTCACTAACAGAATTTGGCTCTTTTTGCACTGCATTTTATCTCAGGTTTTAACTTTCTATGATTGTGGTAATAGCTTTGAATAAGCTTGGGGGTATTAGTTTGTTTTTGTTTTGTGACTTCTTGGTTTTGGTGTTGAGGTTTGGCCAATCTTTGCTTCATAACCTAGGTGTACCACCAAATTCTAAATTTTAGGCCTACCCTAACCTTTTGCCCTTACGTTACAGCCTTTGGGAAAGTCCGTTCGACCTAGTGCGTGGTGTTGGGGTTTGGTAAGTCCAACTTATCGCGGAAACAACCTCGACCCAAAGAACCACTCGCAATTAATAAAACCATAAAGCATAACAAATAAACATAAAAGGATAAAATCGGAATTTACCTTTCACGCGTGCTTCGCCCAACCTAATGGGCTCTTACTTGAAAGCTTTAGCTCCGAAAATACCGAGCCTCCAACGGTATCCACTTACAAAGGACGAACACCGACTTTTTAGGTCCGCTACCTTGGAGTTAGCAAGGTCCGACCAAACCCCAAGTGTTAATGGAGTTTAAAAGTTTTTGCCAAAATGCAATGCTCTTTCTAACTCCCACTCAAGCAAAGAATTCTCAAGCCATGCTTTGGCTATTTATAAGGAAGGATAGGTTGTGAATTCCTCTCATCTTTCAATGTGGGACTTTTTAACAAAAAGTTCCCACATGGAAAGATTGATGAATTAAATCCTTAGTTAAATATATCAAGGAACAAGTAACAAGTGTCACATGGTTAGGTGAGGACCACTTTCCAACTTGGTCCCCAAGGCATTTCACATGCAATATGAACTAACCATGTGTCACTCAACCTTGAGCCTTAAGTTTGGTTCGGTTGGGCCATTTTATTTTGGCCCGTGTCCATGACCCATCGCCCCGGGTCCACGGCCCTTGTCATATGTGTCGCCACCATGGCGCGCTGTCACTTGGCGGCTGCCACTAGGTGGCTGCCACTTGGCGGCTACCACTAAGTGGTTGCCACTTGGCGGTTGCCACTAGGTGGCTGCCTCGTGTGCTGCCACATGGCGCTTTGCCATGTGTGCTACCACGTGGCACGCACCTATTGGGCGCGCTTTCCTAGCCTTTCACGTGGCTAGGATTTTACTTGTTACTTGAAGCATTTTCCCGTCTCGCCAAATCTTAAATTTTGGCTCGACATTTGAGATTCTCCGACGCTCGGTTTCGACGCTCCAAGCTCAAATTTCCGATTAAGCTGTAATATTAATTATAAATTAATATTACTGATTGGAAGCGGCCTCAACCCAGGCATTCCGATCACTTGACCTTACTGAATATATTAGCTTTCTAATAATTCTGAATCCGCTAACGGAATAGTACAATTGTTCGAAGGACACAATTCCTTTCACGTGGTTGAGTCACATACCGAGGGAGGGCATTATGAGTTAAAGCCTAAGGAGAAGGGATGCAAATTCAAGATGTCGAGAACCCTAAAACTTTATTCTTTTTCGGTTCCTTCAAGGAACCATAGAGAAGCTTACTAAGGGAAGATTTGAAGCCATTGGGAGAACGCGGTTAGATTAGTTGGGATGAAAGTGGATTGGGCCTCATTAGTTCTCTACGCTTAGCATACCTTATTTTTCAATCAACTGTGGATATCTTGAAGCATGAATAACCCTATCATATTGAAAGGTGTTAATTCACTTGCATTTGACCGTTTTGAAGATCCTTATCAAGAGCTATTTGTTTGAATTTCTGATTTACTTCTTTTCTTTTAAATGATTTTGCCTCGTTTTATTTCAAAGAGTTATGGGTTAAGCTCTTAGGAAACCTTTACGAGACCTCACTCGTCTCCATAGGCGACTTTAGGGATTAAAGATAGTGAGTCTTAGTGTATATTCTCTTCTCATGTCTTTCTTTTTCTTTTTGAATAAGTCTTTCATCCTTATTCTTTCTTGCTTTGTTTTGCTCGAGGACGAGCAAAATTCTAGATTGGGGGAATTTGATGAGTGTCATTTATGGCACTCATTTGTTATCGTTTAGTATGATTTTAGATTGCTTTTATAGCTCTTTTCTTTCCTTTTTCTTAAGTTTTGCTCTTTATCTCTTTAGTTTACTCTTAACTTAGTTGATTTTCATTTTTTATACATTTCTTGGTTTATTTTGTTATTTTCTCGCTTATTTTCTTATTTTCTTTCATTTTTCAGGTTAAGGTCGTTATCCAAAGACTCTCAAGGGCCCTTCCCAGTTTTGGCATTGATTAGGATGCCCAATGTTCCCCATTTGAAGCTCAAGCATAGAGAAGTGCAAGTTCCTAAAGACTTTAGGCCGTGCTTTCAAGTCGTGGGGGCGGGGCACGAATTCTCGTGTTGAACCCACAATCATGGAGTTTGGAAACTACAAGGTCCCGTGTTTATCAAGAGCATCGAATGGAACACACGAGGATCGTCAATATGATGGTGAAGAGGGCTACCCTGTTCCCAGGCGCGGGTGCACGCTACTATGGTGCGGCAGTGCGGCCTGGTGGTGCGGGCGCGCTTCTCTCGGGCGCAAGCGCGCCCGTCTGGGTCTTTATTTCGTACCCAGTTTTGCGCGGCCGCGCTCCCCCTTATAGTCAGCGACACTTGTACGGGCCTATTTTGAACGATCTAACTAATTTCTCTTTTTTAGTTTTACTATATTTAGATTTTCCCACTATTCTTAGAGGGAGAGAGTTCATTTTAGAATTAGAATATAATTAGGTTAGATTTTTAGAGAGAGAAACTCTAATTTGTAGAGAGATGTTCTTGATTGATGATTGAAGATTGATGATTCTAAGTGTTTTCTCCATTGATTTGAAGAAAGTTTGTAAGGATTTCTTTACTTTAATGCAACATTAAGTTTTTAATTTGAATTACATTGTTAATTGTTCAAGTTGATTGATTTTTGAATTGATTTTATCTTGATTAATATGATGATGATGAATTTGTTGTTTAGCTTAGTTTTGATATTGATTTCCATTAATTGTGAGTAGTTCTCTTGCTAGGGGAATGGTGAAGCATATATGAGTAATGGATTTTTGCTAATTTGGGGAAATTGATGGAGTTGATGTTGGGATTAAATTGGTTGATTGATTATGTGCATGTGTGTGTTTAATTTAGGAGTGATCAACCTAGTTGCTCGCACTAGATTGCATTGTAAGTTAACATTTATATTGAAAATTGATTTGTGGCTTGCATTTTTCGATTGAGTTGGTTTGTCAAGTTCCTAGTTAGAGTCTCTCGTAATTGGTGCTAGTTTGACCTGTAGGAGATTAGCCTACCATACTTTTTTTATTGCTTAATTAATTTTCCCTTGCAACACATGACTTAGTCATCTCCAATCCCAATTAGTTGAAATCATTGCAAGTATATGTGGATCCTAAATCCTAGTGTTTGATATATTTGATTTCATTTCGATTGCTTGATTGATTTAGAATATACACACCTTACTTCATTCCTTTACTTTGGAATAGCTTAGCTTTAGCATTAGCATTCACCTCCCATTCCTAGTGGTTCGACCCTCGACTTACTCCTATGCTAGGTATAAGGGTGTGTTGAGAGATCACAAATTTTGTTTGGCCGAGGGAAGATTAGTTTCAACTACCTAGTCTCTACCCTCGATAAATGGCCATCATGGGCCACTATTTGGTGTGTAAAAGTTCGCTAATGTGGTCGGTGCAACGCGTAAGCGACATCGTAAGTCACTCCCATGTTCATTGAACATCAATCGGTTGTGCGAGTAGTGAGCACTCCAAGTCTTAGTGCTAGGCACTTAGACACTTATCGACCTATTGATAGTATTGATGGGCTACGCCAAAGCGATGCATTACTATTACTCCCTAGGATACGTAAGGCATACTAGGTATGCAAGTTGGTTTTGGTTATAAATGGCCGCCTCATAATAGCCGAAGCATTGGTCATCATCGCAGGCATTCTCTGGCCAGACGCCTACTATATTTGTGGGAAAACTATTTCACATTGAGAATATTTGAATATGTAACTCCTTCTAAATAGTCAAGTTTAAGGAAATACTTCTTAGTAGCATATCAAAAATCGTAACAAACTTAGCCAAATCAAACGATTAAAATAAGTACTAAACGCATAAATTTGCTTTTGAAAAGAAAGGAAAACAGAACAAAATCTTTTATTTGAACACTAAATAGGCTTGGTTATTTGAAACATCTAATCAAAATAGTGTGTCATGTACATATTCTGAAACTACAAATTAGTCCTTAAATGTATGACTTTGTACTTTGATATCTGATTTGCTCTTGTCATCTACAATATATTGTAGTTTAACTTTACTATTGAATATAGGATTATAAACCTAAAGATATGTAGTAACCTCTGAGAATAAGTACTTAAACTTATGAACTCTGAGTAATGTGCTATGTGCTTTTACTAACAACTGAATTTGGCAACAATGATGCATTAGAGAACTATGATACATGGACGTTTGATCAAGGATAAAGTAGATAGTATTGGAGAAAAATTCTACTTTGATGGCCATTATGAAATATCCAATGCTCTAATAAAGCCTATGCCTAGGCATTTTGAAATAGCCATCACAAATAATCCCTATCAATTGACCTTTATTGAAAACACCCTGGTGCAACCAACATGTTCTATAAGTGGTGAAGTTGAACCTGAATTCGAAGCAATATCTGCAATAGCTAAGGCTCATTTCTTAGATGAAATTTGTGGTATGTTACATTACTATCTCCATTATCTTACATTCCTGTTTGACATATGTTATCCATATATTACAACTCATATGATTCAGGAAAAAATTATACTTAATGCAGAACTTCAGCCAACAAGTCCTACAGCATATGATATTTGTGAAGATGCTACCTATGGTATATCAAGTATTTATTAAACTACCTTCATCGCTTTCATATGCCTAGATTCTGACCATAAATTTACTGCTGCCTACAATTGTGGGAATAGTTCTCTTTGCAGAGAAAGAAGTGCGATTGGTTGATTCTTTTTATGGACAAAAAGCATATGTAAGAGAAGTTGTTATAACAGATCAAACGTAAGCCTAATCCTATACCATTTTTTCATCATAATTTAGTTATATAATCCATAATCTAGATTCCATTCATTTAATTACACATTTCACGGGAACGCTCAACCAATCATTGTTAATGTTTGGAACCACCTTACTGGAAGTGCTTGTGAGAAAATGAATGTATGGGATGAAAAATTTATAGTTGTTGGTTTTACATCAGTGAAGGCCTGCACTTTGAAAGGTTAGCTAATGTTATTTATATATTTCAAGTATGAAATTTATTTCTTACTAATTTTGAAATGATGTTGATCTTTCCATGCATGAGTAAGTCTGAATAAATTGTGATAATAGGGTCTTAGAGCCTGTAAGATTTTTAGGCTCACATATATTTCCTCCGCCATAATCACCTTGCCTAATTGCTTATATTTCTCTTGTATCATATTCTTTAGAGATTCCTTTTTGCCTCGTGCCACAGATAACATTAAAAGTTTTAAATCATGCACTATTATATTTTCCTTATGATGACCTAACGAGTGATCATACTTCCTTCTAAGTGCAGTATAAATTAAAGGGCTAGAGAAATTTATAACTTTGTAGGATTTAATACAGTTGATCTAATGAAAAGTTACAAGTCTAAAGATGTTATCTATGTTTTTACTAGGAAAGATAGTAGGTGTATGGAGGATAGGGATTAGGTGTTGTTTTCTGGTCCTCATTCCTTTTTTTTTGCTAAGCCTATCCTGGTAAAGGCCTTGACGCCTAATTTTCATTTCCAGAAGGAATTACTCTGTTGTGGGTTAGATTGCTTGACTTTAGTCTTCATTGCTAGACTAAGGATTCCTTGAGTAGAGTTGGTAGTACTCTAGGTGTACCTTTTTTTTGCAGATGTCTATACTTCTAAAAAGCTTAGAATTTCCTTTGATTGAATCCTGATTGAAATGGATACACTGATGATCATATTAACACTAATCAACTATTATACAGCAAAGATGCATCGCTAAACTAACAATACTATATTTAAAATAGGTTTATGTCTATCAACTGGAATGGATACATGAATAATATATGAACCAAAAGAAGATAGAGCTAATGTCCGACGTGAATAGTATGAATGTTTTTACTCATTATCCTATGGGATAATAATATCACTATTACATATATAATCAGCATATCAACTTTGCAAGGCAAGCCTTTATGAACAGAGGCTCCTAGATCGACAAGCTAGAATTCTTCATGTCCGATATCCTGAAAATCCACATGAGACTGTCACAGTTCAATATTCCAAGGATAAGAAGGTTTCTATTCCAACATTGATAAATATATATGCACTAATACGTCTTCTTTGTTAATCTACAGCACACTCTAACTTTATATCTTAAATATAGGCACAAAATGCATTGCAAGATGAAAGACATTGGCTGCTAGCAACTATACCATCTGCAAATTTGGAACAACTAACCATATATACAGGATGCTTGAAGTGTGGAAAACCAACAAATTTACCTAACGGAAGAGAATATGCCTGCAGAAAATGTTATACTAAAGAAACTGTTGCTTGTATCAGGTAACATAGACATTAAAAGTACATCTATAATCTTATTTTTATGAATGGAGTATGTTTAAAACCTTTCTAATATGAAATATATGTGCAGGATTGCTTTTATGTTTGATGTTATAGACAACACTGATCGCATAACACTTACAGCATTTAACAATGATGCTGAAAAAGTCTTGGGCATGCATGATAGTAGATATATGATGTAAAAACAAATGTATGTGCTCTACTTCATATACAATTAAAAGAATACAAATTGATTAAACTATCTCTATGACATTTGATGGTACTCGAACAATCACTATACTTGCATTTGCCTTATGGTACTAATATACAAATATGATAATTTTAACAAGAGCATCATATCTCTTTTTAAATGGCAAAGAAGAAATTCAATTCAAAATTGCTGCATATGAAAGTTACTCCTACACCAGCATTATATGCAACTAACAAACTACAATGGTCAATAGAGGAAGTTGTCATTAAGGAAGATCTGTATACCCTTCCACACTCTAACAATGCTTCAGGCACCACAAGCAGAGAAGAAATTGATAAGCATAACACTATCATTGAATCAATGGGAGAAGATAAAACCATGGAACAAGTCAAAGGCAACACTAAGAACACAAGAATACTATTGATGGAACAATATCCATAACCATAGGTGTTAAAGACTGAAGCAGCATTACCAGACTGGTCAATGCATAAGCGACATCGCACTTCTCTAGAAAAGCAAGCCACTACAGACAACAACTCAGCTTCAAGTGCAGGAACTCAAGTTTGACCTACTAATATTATAACCTTAGGTAAAAATCTTCTTTTGCTTGTAGTAAAGTAACAAGTCTTCCACCTCAGTGCTGCATTTTGCTCATCTTTAGGAGGGTGATCCCATCGTAAGGGGTACTCTCCTTAAATGCCCATGGTCACTTAAAAGCCTAGGACTTTAAACTTGTTAGGGTGTAGTAAGATTTGAATTCCTGAGTGTTTGGGGGACCTTGAATTAGAATTGATTCTATCATTACACTTTTTTGTAAGAAACAAGTAGGAGTCGCCAATGAGTTTAAGGAAAAACTCATAAACCTTGTTCATGCCTTTCTTCCATGTGGAGTTCATGGAGTAATTAGCACGAATCATAAGTTTACTCATGCCCAAATTGGTCTATAAACCAGAAATGAGTTCGGGAGCGAGGGTACTAAAATAACGTTCCTTTTAGAGGAGAATCGTTATCCTATCCCTAGTACGACCTCTACTATCTCTTCCTTTTTTACAATTTCATCACCAAACAATATATGCAATGTGATACCTAAAACTATATTGGTTGATTTTATTTACAAGCGTTGATTCACGTAGGAATTACATCGTAATGTCGTTATTCTTATTTAATCAAATCCGTTAAAAGGACAAGAAAATAAACAAGATTCCCCTTTGCTTAAGTGATCAACCAACAATTATTTAATTCAATTCAAATTTTTATTTAACGCAAGATACTATGTGGAATTGATTAATTAATTATTTGAAGGTGATCAAACAACACTAATTAATTAAGGTTCTTTTAAACAAGAAAATAAATATGATATAACTAAGTGCTCGGGAATTTCCACTTCTCTTTGCAAGATCTCTATTTAGAACACTTATGGACTCCTTCTTGTTGGGGAACCTCCACCGTAGTAACAAAATATAAAAAGGGTGAGTGCTTATGACAAGAGGGGCTATGTTCCACAAGTTCACAAGTATTTTGCCAGAGTTTTAGGTTAATTTTTGTCTGTTTAAGCCTCGGTTTAAGTTCTTATTTATAGGGAATGATTAGTTTTAGGGTTTTGAGCATTCTACCGCAGTAGATGTCGAGCGCAACAAGATGAGTTGCGCGCGGCATCCCAGCGCAAGTGATTTGGTTGCGCTGCAATGGGCAGTGCAACTAATTGTCTTGCGCGCGGCTTTATGGTAAGATTCGATTTTTTATATTTTCCGTATAATTCTGAATCTTTCGTACTGCAACTGAGGTTGTGCTGGGTGTCGCGCACAACTGAATTAGTTACGCGTGGCAGCCCAGCGCGACTGTTTCAGATGCGCGCGGCTTGTTTTGCGGCAGCACTAAGATTTAACCTAGGCGCTCCTAAATCCGTCATTATTAGGTTTTAAGTACGGGCTTAAGCCTAATAATGATCGGGTTTAGTTAATTGGACCTTTGTTTAGCTTTTTCTTTAATTTGGGCTAGTCTTTTGTGTTTTGTGGCTTAACCTGTTATCCATAAGTATTCTTCACTTTGATCCAACATGAAGATGGTTTTATTAATCGTTGTAGACACCCAAATGTGTCTCCCAAAAACCAAACCCAGTGATGAATACCTTTCACACCATTTGATTATCAAATAAAGCGAAAGTGTGAAAAGTCTAGTGATGAAGATGTTTTTATTAAAATATCTCTTCTTTCTGTTTTTGAAAATATTTCTTTTCTTATCCTATTTTTGAAAAACTTTCATTCCAGTTTAGTTTGGTCTATGATATGGGTCCAATAATGGTGTATTTGGATGGGGTTTGAAAAGACCTTTCCAACGATATATTATAATCCCAATTCCGATGAATAATGAGGAAGTTATAGCCAAAATACTCAATTGGGCCTAAACCGGATTTTACCTACGACTCAATGATCATGTGGAGGGTCCAAAGGTATAATCCTATTCCTAAACTAATTAGTATTAATTAGAAGCTTCTATGAGTTTCTAAAAGATCTTAATTATCTTTTTTGAAAAGATAAGATTAAAGAATTTGAGTTAAATAAAAACTTTCCTTTTTTAAAACTTTCCTTTTTTTATTCCTGATTCTATTCGAATTTAAAGATGTTAAAAGACAGTCAGATTTTTTTTTCGTGCCTCATAATCTTTATCCAAATTTTATATGGTTGGATAAATATTGAAATTATCTTTCCAATGATATATTATAATATTAAATCCGAGCTATAACGAAAAATATATGAATGAGATATGAAACTCTATCCAAAACTGACACCGTCCCACTATTTCGGTCATATATTTTTATATACAAAAGATTTTAATATTATTATAATTGGTTGGAAAGTAGACTTCAAGAGCTTTCCAAAAACATACTATATGCATTATTTGAACTTCTGGATCAAAAGATATGATAAAAACAAAATCCGCAAAAACTGTTGTCCATCGAGTTCTATTTCGATTCGAATTCGGATTCTTTTCTTATTCTTCGACCCTCTTTTTTCTCTATAAATAGAGGTCATACCTCCCCTTTTTCAATCACCAACTCTCATCAAGAATTTCTTGTTTCTCTCTCTCTTTCTAAGCCTAGATTTTTATAAACACAATTCCTCATACATTAGCACTAGACACACCTAGCATTATTCGAAGTTGCCTTCACCCTAGACGTGAAAGGTTTTAATTTCTGAGGGTTTGGTCCCAAATCTCTCTTTCAATTATTTAATTTAATTGTTTTGTTTTTGTTATTTTCCTTGAAGTTACTAACGTGTGTATTTTGTTATTAGAAAGAGATACGAGGCATCCAAGTAAGTGCTTTAATTGTTTGCATTGATATTATGATATAGAAATCATGTCTAGGTTGTTATTATGATTCCTAGTATCATGTTAGGATGCTTGATGTTTTTAATGACAACAATATTCCTAGTATTATGTTTAGGGAAAAGGTTATAATATCAAATATGCTTATTATAATTTCTATGATGCTTCCTATATTCTCTCCTAATATTCATGTTAGTATCATGTTAGGGTTAAAGTTTTGATTTTTATTGTTTAGTGACATTCTAGGGTTAGTTATTAATCTTGTTAGTATCATGCATAGGGTCTTAATTATGCTTTAACATGAATATTATGATTATATTTGTTATGACGATGATTCATGATTCATGATTATTATTATAATTATTATATTTTTTATTATTATTATGTTGCTTGATATATATTTATTGTTATTGCTTGATCACGCCTTTTATGCATGCTTAAAGGGAATTGGTACTTGTAATCACGCTTAATCAGATAATTAATAATCTTGTTTAGGGTTAATATGATTATAATTCAAGTGATCGCCAATAATAGTTTATTTGTGCATTAATATTCAACCAACATAGATAAACAGGTTTAGGGTAATCCTATTGATTGCATGTTAGTCAGAAAGCACACATGAATACAATCAGAATAAAGTAGAGGCCTATTATTAGGGCAGGTTCAATCTCTTTTAGGTTGGATTTGTACCTTCATCCCCGAACTACCAGTCATGGTTCCAGACCTATTGGAGTTGACGATCTCCTGGATCGTTAAGGGGTGTAACCTTCACCTCGTGAACGATTTACAAGTTCCTAAAACTTGTTGGCGACTCTTTTGCTCTAGCTTCCTTCCCTTTGGACGCCACCGTACTTTAGTGTATGATCACAGTGGGGTTCAAGCTAGGGATAATGCTTGAAATATTCCCTACAATCGTCATTGCACTTCCTGTCGTGACAGGAGGCCAAAAGTAGATGTCTCAGTTAGCCCCCACTTTGATCGAGTCTATAATAGACGATGATCAAAGTAGTCAAGGAAATAAATTTGAGACTCATTCTGTGAAGTTCTCAAAGTATTGAGAATCTTTTAGTAATGTTAAGGATGTTGAAACGATCCTTGGTTCGCTAAGTGTTCGAAACAAGTAGCTACTAAGGCTAGGAAAAGTTTTTTCTTAGTCTTAACGCGCTAAAGAATCTAGATTGATCCTTTGCAATTGTAGAACTCTTTTACATGTAAAGGTGTTCTGGTGATGTCAATTCATGAGAAGAGATCGGTTTTAAAAAAGAATAAAAGGACATGATTTCCTCTCAATCGTGTCATCGTTGGTATAAAGTCCCTTAAATATGTCATTGAAACTTTAGCCTGACTTTAACAAAGTAATAAGATGAAAAAGGTGTTTTCGGCATTCGAGCCAAAATGGTCTGGTATTCGATCCAGGTTCGGTATTCAAGCCGGATGTCCACAAGATAGAAATACATGTCTCAGGACTGGAGGCATATATCCAAATTTAGTGAGAGGGAAGAAAGTCAGCAACTCTCTCAGTAGTTTTGTCCACAAGATGAGTACCTATGTCTCAGAACTGGGGGCACGTGACTACATAGGTGCGACATCGTCTCGTCGCTTCTTTATATAGGGGATGATTTCGACACCCTAATTGTCCGGTAAGTTAGTAAGCACACTAACTACCGTATTTTCTCCCATTCAAGAAGTGCTTGTTCCTGATTGATCGGTGCGCCTGTCGACTCGTCAGCTAACGCCTACAGTAATTCTCTACCTTTTAGTCCCGAGAGGTAGATCTCGCAAAGCTTAGGCTGAAGTGAAATTTTGCATTGTACGATACGCCATTTGCATTGTACGATCGCTGTACAATTTTGCATTGTACGATACGCCATTTGCATTTTTACGCTGCATGAAAAACCTTCCTTATTGCTTCGGACGTGAAAAAAGAAGAAAACCGGACATTTGTAACGTTAGTACAGTAAAATGACAAACCTGTCTATGGATGCTTTTACGTAAAGCACCACCATGGAACGTCTTAAGGCACTCTTACAAAAAACGTCCAAAACGTATGCTTGGGGAAGGCACAAAGCACGGTGTGCATGCAAGAATGATGCAAAAAACTAACAAAGAAGAAAACAAACAACAATATGCAAAGTAATTTAAAAGGATTTTGATAATTTGCGCGCCATTACATCTAATAATGAGCAAAAACCGTTGAAAAATGATCAAACGGATCAAAATCAAGATTCCGGTCATTTTAGTGACCAGTATCCACCCGCAACCCACCCGCAACTCTGAGGGTCGCGCTGGCCAGGCGCGTGCATCGTTCTGATTTGTGATGGTATGTCACGCGCAACAAATTCAGTTGCGCGCGACATTTATGTCAGTAAAGTGAAATCGCTGAGCGTGATTTGCACT